TTACAGTGGAGTGCACGGGTTCAAGAGAAGGTCGCAAATCCAGGCGAGGTAAATGGTTACTTATGGAAACGTATTTAGAGTAAAGTCTCCATGAATCAGCGGGTGAACATGCACATGCAAAAACTCCATGTTCACAGCTGTGAGGAAGTTTATTCTCAGATGTAAAAGTTTCACGATTATTTGTCGTCTTCTTCCACGTCATTACTGCCGTCTGGTCCTTCCTGCTTTCTCACTACTTTACTTCCTACTTCTGCTCTTGGTACCAAGTTCACACTTTTACAGTTAGCTTAGCATTCTTTATACAGACGTGGATAAAATTATTAGCATGAAATTTCAAGTTTTTGTCAAAATTTTGACAAAACAGAGCAAAGGATTTCCAACATAGCATTTCTAAGTATGCTAGTTTTCTTTAGAAAGCATAAATTATATATATTTACTCACAATAATGGAATTATCTGAGAAAGTGTTTTTTCCAGGGTCAGTATAAATCATCCCTGAATAACAAACCAGGTTGTGCAATGATGTGTTTTAACGTTTTAAAGCTGAAAGCTTCTCAAATTAAGTTAAAACTGAGGTTCCAGTGTCTCGTGTGTCACAGAGAAAGCAGCACGCCGAAAACCAAATCAAATCTGTTTACATGAGAAAAATGATTTTTGATGCTCACAAAGCAGGAGATGGATACACAAAGTTATCGCAGCGTTTGCGAGTTGTTCTACTGAGATGTATCATCGAGGAATGTAACGAGAGCCGAACAGGACAGAACAACTGTTGCAGACGTGAAAGATTTTAAGAAGATGCTGCCACAACATGAGGGAATGACTTGGCCGAGTTGGGAATTGGAGTCTCAAAGAAGATGATCACTTGACTCCTGCACAGGAACTCCACGTACGACCTCAAACCAGACTCAGCCTGGAGCAGGGTTAGGGGAAGTGCGTGCTTTGGTCAGATGACATTAAACTACAGCTCTTTGAGATGCTTCTTATTTTTGGAGAAAGGAAAACGATTCAGCGTCTCCACAGTGAAATGTGGTTCACAATCTCACAAGATGGAAGGTATGAAGAAGAAG